AATATATAAGTTTTTATTAAAAAAATTAAACTTTTTAATAAAAACACAAGCAAATTTGCCTGTGTTACAATTTAAGGAATAGTTATCAACTTCTTGTTTAAGATGCTGAAACATTGTTATACCATTTCGCCCACCAAGATGTTTATTACGATATTGTTGAAACAAATTTAAAACATAACCTGTTTTTGAAAAAAAATTTAATTATTTTTATTAATGTTATTCAAGTATCAATATATTACTACATATCAATATTAACAAAAATTTTTTACCATAATCTGGATTTTGGGCACGATCTGCTAATAGTTGTACAAGTTCTTGATCATTACTTGCACCCAAGTAAATCATATCTTCATAAGTATGCCAAGCTGTTGCTGGTGAATACTCATTAGCAAACAACTCAAGATAATTGTTACGCACATTTTCTCTAACACGCCGGAAACTAAGAGACTCAGCAGAGTATACTATATGATTATAAGTATATTTGATATTAACTTCAAGTGGGTGAGTAGTTTGAAGGCGCCAACGTTCAAGTCGAATATGAATTGTAGCTGTACACTCTGTATTTCATGCACGCATTGAATAAGAATTTTTTACTATAGAACATCCCTGCTTTTGCTTAACAATATTACTGTGAATACAATGACGTAGCTCCTGATGAATAACTTTTTTTCCTTGGATTTGAAAGCTCTTTGTTTTAGGCATCATAGTCTTTGATATTTCTTCATATTTGGAAAACCATTGTTGTATGCCTTCAATATTATTAACATTGACAAAAAAGTCTATTTCAAATTGATCAATTGAAAATTCTTCCGGAGTAATATAATTAGGAAATTGTTGAAATTTAGAGACTATATAATTATAGTTTTGTGGAAGAATAGGTGCAACATTCTTTGGCAACGATTCAATTAAAGATTCTGATAACATATTATTTGATATTTCTATATCAGATAATTGTTCTGGTTCTGTTATATTATATGTCGAGACAAGGTTTAATGATTGTGAGAAAACAGGTACAGTATTTTCTAGCAATAATTTTGATAATGGTTCTGAAAACATAGGCATATTTGACATCTCTGTATCAAGCGACTGTTCCATTATATTATGTGTCAAGGCAAGGTTTAATGGTGTATAATTTTGTGAGAAAATGGGTGCAGCTAATAATTCTGAAAATGTAGGTATATTAGACATTTCTATATTAATTGAGTCTACTCCAATATCATGTTAAGACAAGGTTTAATAACGTAAAACTCAAATAGTAACCATTGAAAGATATAGAAATTCAGAACTCTTTCCGACGATCATCTGGACCATATTTTTCTGAAAAACTTTTTGACTAAAAAACAGTAACGTACTGCA